ATAGCTTGAGACATTAGAGTATGGACATCATTAGCTTTCTGGTCGTACTCAGCACTATGAAAACTAAGTTCATGCAAGTTTACATTTTTATGACCCCTTAAGCAGCCAGAAATAAATCTGCTCATCAAACACTACCACTGTGCTTTTGACTCTATTGCCTGTATTATAATTTTTAAGTGCTGTTTTCACAAGCTCTAATGCCTTAGTTTAATTACTGCCAAACCCACCTTACAGAGTTTAAATCAAGTGGCAAGCGTTGTCTATTAAATTGCATCTGTTGATATTTATTTATTTATTTATTTATATCTTCGATTTCTTATACCACCCTAACCCCCATTTGAGGTCTCTGGGCGGTTTACAGAGAGGGTGCTAATCACATTACTCCCTAACTAGGGCCACATTTGTACGGGGTGGGACTGCCTACCAGCACCCGGTGGTGGTCGATTTTTTTTTCCTTTTTGGCTCGGCTCTTTTTCAGTTCTTTTCCCGGCATCTCCCCTCTGGCGAGATGTTCCTCCTGGCACTCAGGCGAGTTAACTTGTGGCACGCGATTCACGTCTTCCACTAGCCTCAGCTGCGTCCTTCTGGTTCTGCCGTGCCTGTGTTTGACGTCACCGCGCGCCTCCACCTTCGCCGACGACAGCCACCTGATGTTCTTTTTTCTGCTGGCCACCAGGGATCGCTCCTTCCGGCCCTGCTGCTGCTGCTGCCACGTCGCCCACGCCGTCTCCGCTGGAGCCGATGCCTCATCGCCATCTTCACCACATGCCTCACCTGAGGAGGGTGCCCCCTACCCACCTAAGCGTAGGTACCCATTTATCTACTCGCATTATAATTAGTTGCTTTCGAGAAGTTGGGTGGGCGGGAGCTGGGACTAGTGTCGGGCGCTCACCCCGACTGCGGTGGTTCTCAAACAGCCATAGTGGCCTTCTTTATTCTTTAAAAAATATCTCTACACTTCCAGGGTCCAAAGAGAGCTGACCTCTCAAAATAAACAGAAGGGATGAATGGCATCTCAGAGCCAAAATTCACTGCATTACATTTAGTTTAAAAACAGTTTGAGAGATAGTGAAATTTTCAGAAGGGTAGCTATATTACTCTGTTGTAGAAAAATAGACAAGAATCTTGTGGCACCTTAAAGGCTAACAAGTTTTTATTCTAACAGTCCATGTATGAGTCCACTTTGTTGGATACAGTCTACAAAATCTTGTGCTTGAATAAAAACTTGTTAGTTTCTAAGATGCAAATAAAAATCCCATTATTTCTTGAAGATTGTGCATTTTAGTCCTTAAGTTACAGTTCATCTCCCATTGAAGTCAATGGCAAAAGTACCATGGATTTTAACAGGCCAGCATTGTAAGATGTGCACCCGTTCATTCAACATATTTGTTTCCAATTCCGTTTGGTGTAGTGGTTAAGAGTGGTGGACTCTACAAAAATGGGTTTGATTCCCCACTCTTCCACATGCAGCTGCTGGGTGACCTTGGGTCAGTTACAGTTCTCTCAGATCTGTTCTCTCAAGAGCAGTTCTCTCAGAGCTCTCTCAGCCCCACCTACCTCACAGGATGTCTGTTGTGGGGAGAGGAAGGGAAAGGAGATAGTCAGCCACTCTGAGACTCTGAGTGAAGGGCAGGGTATAAATTAAACTACTCCTCCTTCTCCTCCTCCTCCAGAGCTCAGCACAGTGCAGATGGAATAATTTTATTCTCTTAACAATCCCATGAGGTAGTTTGTGACTGTAAAAATTATTGTTCTAATAATATTTGGTTACGACTCCATTTTAACTCTGACCCCTTCAGTTATATGTACCAACTACTTTTGGAATCTGATAAATCCAGATGGCTATCTTACATTGAAGCCAAAATAAGTTCCCTGAATTTGTCCCTAGAATCCTTATATATGCTTTCTGAGTCTGAGGCCTTTTTAAAAATAAAATCTAGATTATTGGGATCAGAGCTACAAACTCTTTATAGCATGGCTAACAGAACCTGTTCTCCCTTACATCTGGGGATTATTCCTAATGCAAATCTTCCAGCAGTATACCTCTATCAACTCATAGCTCCAAATTTGCGTAGAGCCATATCCTTGGCTAGATTTAATGTTCTTCCTTCAGCTATTTTATCTGGCAGATTCCAAGGGATTCCCTATCCTAGCAGGTGCTGTCCTTGTAGGAAGGATTGTGTTGAAACTGTTGCCCATGTTCTCTTCCAGTGCCCTCTCTATTTGGCGTCCCGTCGGGATCTTCTATATCCCATATTAGGCCATTTTTTAGAGTCCCCTGATGATTTTAAGCTTCTTTTCTTGCTCGATAACACACACACAGAAATAACTGAAATAACAGCAGAGTTTATCTGCAGTGCCATGGCCCTCCTCTCCTACACCTGACAGGCAGCTGCCTGTCCAGTGTAGGAGAGGGAGAGAGGAGGAGTATTAGAAGCCACTGTGGAGGTGAGGCTGCACCTAACAGACAACCGCCTGTTAGGTGTAGGAAGTGGGGGTAGTGTGTTGGAAGCCATCAGAGAGTCTGGGCCAGTAGCTTTGCTTCATCTCCCACATGGTTCTTGGCCACTTCTGATTTTCTCAACTTTTAATAGTTCTCTGCAGTCCCTCCCCTGTAACTGTTGTGGATTTTTTTAACTCAGAACACTGAGCTCTGCAGCTAACCAATCAGAGAGTGGGGGGTGCAAAGAGGCAGCTGCCTGGCAGCCACATAGGAATCAATGGGGAGAGCACATTTCCCCCCTTTTGACCCACTTAGGGGTCGAATTTCTAAAAATCCCTTCTTAGCGAGCACCTACACCACGGTAGGAGCGCTCTTCCTGAATTTGGTGTCTCTAGGTAAAGCAGTTTGGCCTGGGTGTTGATTTTACGGTGAGGGGACTTTCTTTTATATATCTATAGATGGATATAGCTGCGTTTTTAAAAAATGCACTAAAATATAAATATATTGATATAGCATTGTAATGATAGATTTACTAGGTTCTCTTAATTCCCAGCTTTCATGTTAAAAAAAAAAGGAAGTCAACATCTCCTTCCCTTGTGAAAACACAAGGGAAAAGGGATATTCCACAAGGGAAGGAGACAGAAACTTATTATTTTAAAAAGATGTAAATTGGGAATTCTGAGAAATCTGTCATTATAATGATATACCACTATATTTTAGTGCCTTTTAAAAATAAAAGATGAAACGACTTGACTTCAGGGCAGGAGGAATGAGAGGGTATCGTTTGATGAGGATGACAGTCTAATAATCAAAAAGTGAGCTGGAGGTGGGTTGGAGTGGGTGGGACAAAGAAAGCCAACAGAATCATTGCATACAAGAAAAAGGGCTACTCAAAATTGGCTTGTGGGGAAAAAATGGAGTAAAAGTGGCCTCAAAAGAACCAGAAAAATGGGGGGGGGGCCCTGAACCACATACTAGAGGCACAAAAATGCATGCAGAAATCAGGGGAGAAACCAAAGCAGTATGGTGCCAGGCCCAATGAAAAAAGCCCATGTGGAAAAGCCCAGTCTCTCCCAGTCGTCTTGTTATAAACAATGGAATCCAGATCTGAGTTTCTAAATTATGGTATAGTAGTTGTGTTTTTTCCAGAGATGAAATCTTCAGGAAGGCTTTCTGACATCTTAATATCACCAAGCAGCATGAAAAGGAAGATCAATTAAAATACTATATTTAACCAGTTTAAGCTAAAAGATTGGCAGCATTTTACATGACTTGGAACTATTTTGATTTGATAAATATAATAAAAATTGTTATTTCATTATTTTATGTCACAGAAAATGATTGTTGAATAAGGCTCTTAATGGTTTTTCATTGTAATAAATCAATAACCTGATTTTCTTAATGGCATCCACTAGCTAAAATCCTTAGAAACCATCAACAATTTTAAATGCATGTTTATTAAAAATCCTACTTTGCTTGCAACTGATAGATTGCATTCAGATTCATTGACTAAAAATGTTGTGGTTGCTGTACTCAGAAAATGTATACAAATGGCATCCCTTGGAGTGGGATTAACCCTAATCTCATATGAAGTGACTTTATCACTGGCCGAGTTCAGACTGGCAATTTGAAGCGCTAGGGAGTTGTAGCAAAGAAAAAACAGAATAGACCTGGAACAGCTTGTTCCTGGTATTCCCGTTCACAATGCAGTGAATGAAGCGGAAGGATACCGTGGAGGAAGCGCAAAGGAGTGTTTGCACTGTCGCCGGCCCCTGGTGGGCTGTTAGCGTGGTTTCTGTACTCAGATGCGTGTGCCTATGCGCATGGGCACATCAGCAAATAGGGCAGGATCAACTCCACACTTCCACTTGGCACGCCGGAGCATTCCGGTCGTGTGCATGTGCGTATATGCGCACGTGCGCACATGCACCTGCCACAGAACCAGCTGGCACCTATTATCAACTGTGGGTTGTTCCCGCCTTAGCAGCGGTTGCGTTCACACTCAGGGAACTGGAATCAATGCGCTGTATACACGGTTTGCTATCACTTTAATATGGTATCTTTTAAACTTGGGAGGGAAGCAGCACAAGATGGCTTGAGTACTTGAGTACGGCTGGGGGATGCCTGAAACGTGCCTGTGTGAACCCGCCCCTTAAGCTGCTACTGAAACGCTCCTCAAACGTTTGGCTACCGGGCCAAACTGCCAGTCTGAATGCGGCCACTGTGTTTATGAATGTAAAAACAATTTCTGCTCATTAAAGGCAGAAGCAGCTTACTGAACTCCCTGATTTCAGTCTACTGGGAACAGTGAAACCAGAGACAGTTCCTTGTATTTAATGCTTCAGAGATCTTAGATTGCAGAACTCTTTCTTTTAAATATTGTCTTGTGTATGGGTAGTTATTTGTTTTTAAATAGAACAGCAGATTCAATCAAGGGCTGTAACAAATCAAAGGAAGATAAAAACTGTAGTAATTTCATTATGCATTCACATACAATGATTTAATGGGGGGAAATGAAGAATTATGACAACAGCAGCAACAAAATCCCAGTTCCTACCTAGTGCAAGTGCCTCCATTCCGGCATGGATGATAGTCACAAACAGGGACATTGCAGTTCTCAATGTTCCTTCCTCCCATGGCCTCATCTATGACAAATAATTCTTTGTTGTTCACTTGGAACTCCCGAATGCAGCCTCTGAAGCCATAAATCTGCCCAGCACTTGGATGGATCTTAATGTGACCAGGGACATTTCCAAGGAATATGGACCCAAAGGTAACCTGCAAAGGATGACAAAAAGCCATTAACGATCACTGCAACTGTCTACAAGTTGCATTCAAGAGAGAAATGGAAATAAAGGAATGAAAAAACTAATGTAGTAGTTCTGCCCTGTCATTTTGTCCTTTCTTTGACTATGGCACACACCTGCTCACTCTACAGGTGTAAAGTCTTGGATTTATAACTTTAAGGAAAGAATAAAGAGGTTGTATGGGCGAAACTACACATTATACTTGACACAAAGCTATTGTTGGAAATAGTTTCCGCAGACTAACCACTAGGAAGTTCTTCCATGAAAATTTGACTTAAATTAAAGGAAGTTGCACAGGAGCATTATCATTCATTTCAGTGGGGAGTGCAGTAGAAAGTTTGTGGCAACTAATATGGAATTAATTAAAATTGCCAGTACTATGAAAGAAATTAAAATAAACATGTTCCAGTTAGTCTTTGGATTCTGTTTCAAAGGGTCACCTCAGTCAGTTGATGCATCAGAAAGACTTCCTGTCGCATTGGTGAATTTTTATTTGTGGTCATTTCAATCATGCAGCAACCACCAGTACTGCCAAAAGGCAACCTGTAGCTGAAAAGAAACAGAAGTAGGGATTATTGCTTTTTATTTTGAAAGACAAACCTGGCATGTATATTATCAAATGGTATTGATCATGGAGGGCCATCAGCAGGCTTACTGATCAAAGTGGAGGCAGTGTCCACATGAACTGATGCTTCCACTCAAGACCATGGATGGACTAGGAAAATTGGTACATTTTACCAGAGCCTTAGGGATCCTGTGGTGCCAAGGCCACACTGCAAACCCATTATCATGGTATAGTCAATTTATGTATCTCTCCTATATCATAATCCTGTTTTGGAGTGGCAAGATTCCATGCTTCCCCTCAGCCATTGGCCCATCAGCCGCCACTCAAGAGTACTCGTGTGCCATGGGCTGTGTGCTGGGTCTGCTCCTCTTCCCCACCCACTCCCCCTTCAGCCACTGTGCCATGTCAAAATTACTGGCAAATGGCTTTCTCTCTTGACGAAGATGCTTTTCCTGTGTGGGACTAACTTTCCCCTCACTGGCTGTTGGTAGGTGTCACGAAATAGTAGTTACCTGTGTTTGTAAGATGGCTGTGGTTCTTTGTTTAAAATGTTCCCCCATAAGGTTTAATTGAGCTGTAGTTCCAGAGAGGGGCCTGCAGGGGTATCACTCACTGGGTTGAATGGGGCTTCCTCATCTGCTGGCCTACAGTTCCCAGCTGCCCCAAGGCCAAAAAGTGTGGGAAAACAGGGACTGTCCCAAGGCAGTCTTTGTCCCTGGGAGCAGCAGAAATTCAGCCACTCCACAACCGGCTGGACTGGGGAATGAATGGAAGTTTCTCTGCTCTCTTGGGCAAGAGAAAGAGGCTGAAGTACAGGTGAGCCCACAACCTCCAGAGGTAGAGAGTATTGTGTGTAGGGATAATCTGTGTTGTGCTCTGACCACATAGTCTCCCCTGCTCTGCACAATACCAAAGGGAGGGGGTAGCCCAGGGAAGCAAGGAAAGGCTGGACTCTTGGGTTGCCAACTTTCCAGAAGATTGGGGATTCCATCTCCAAATAGGGAGATTCAGCCAGAGGGTTCTCACTGTCCCTCTAAAAAGGCAGTGATGATTCTGTGAGTGGTGGCAGTGAATTTAAGGAGTGACATATGCCCACGGGATGAGGGTGGGAGGCAAAAAGCTGAGTTGTAAACTTGAGCCCATTTCGCCATGGTAGGCAACCAAGCTTGGTTCAGACAGAGGAAGGAAACCCTTCACAGACCTTTGTGAGGAACTCATTGGGGTCAGTCCTGACTAGGGTTGCCAGCTCCAGGTGGGGAGATTCCTGGAGATTTTCTGTTAGTGTCTATGGAAGCCAGGGTTTGGGGAGGGGAGAGGCCTCAACTGAACAGAATGCCATACAGCCCACCTCCCAAAACAGTTATTTTCTCCGAGGGGGTGGTGGTGGAGAGATCTGTTGTCTGGAGTTCAGTTGTGATACCTGGTGATCTTCAGGCTCCACATGGAGGTTGGCTGCCCTGGCTATAGCAGTCAGTGCTTCAGAGCAGGGTCTGCTAGATCGAGGTTCTTGCTGTAGAAGCTGAGTGGGTGATTTTGGACCAGTCACAGACTTTCAGCCTAACCTACCTCACAGGGTTGTTGTGCAAGTCAAAAGGGGGAGAGGAGAATGATGTCAGCTGCTTTGGTCCCCATTGCAGAGAAAGACTACTTTTACTCCTGGGAAACCATTGTTGCCAATTTCCAGGTGAGGGCTGGAGATCACTCAGAATTACAACTGCTCTCCAGATGGCAGAGATCAGTGCCCCTAGAGAAAATGGTGGACTCTGGTGCAGTCAGAGCTTCAGAGCATGGAAGAGACTGCAGGTGTGTGTGGGGGAAAGAAAAGCTGAAGAGAGAGGGGGAAATAAAGGTAGATTGATGATTGGCTGATGATAGGGTTGCCAACTCCAGGTGGGAAATTCCTGGAGATATGACGGATGGAGCCTGGAGAGGGTGAGGTTTGAGGAGGGGTGGGACCTTGACAGGTACAATACCATAGACTCCACCCTCCCAACCAGCCATTACCTTCTGGAGAACTGCTGTTGCCAATCTTAGGAGAGGGGTGGAAATCACTCAGAATTACAACTGATCTCCAAGAGGGAGGGGGGAGGAGAAGCAAAGCTGAAATCAGAGGGGCAGATAATGGCAGGTTGGCTGGGAAGGAGATAGGGTTGCCAACTCCAGGTTGGGAAATTCCTGGAGATTAGAGGGGTGGAGCCTAGAGAGGGTAAGGTTTGAGGAGGAGTGGGCCCTCAGACAGGTACAATGCCATAGACTCCACCCTCCAAACCAGCCATTTCTTCCTGGGTAGCAAGTGTTGCCAATCTCCAGGTGAGGGCTGGAGATCACTGAAAATTACAACTGCTCTGCAGGTAGCAGAGATCAGTTCCTCTGGAGAAATTGGTGGACTCTGTGTCATTATACCCTGCTGAGGTCGCCGCAGCACATTGACACTGAGTTCCCAAGGCGTTGGCACTCTCCCAGAGCCACTTTCTAGAGCTTGTTGTATTTATTTCCACAACGAGCCTCTTTCCTAGTTACAGAGATAAAATAGAGTTATTTTAAACTCATGCATATATATGATTAGGTCCCACCTTCTTTTGGAACAATACATACAGTGATCACAAGTTCACAACTTGTGGTATCCAAATGAAGGTGTTGGTTTGTACACTCAGATCTTCCATATTATTCCCATTCGGTCATTAGCTCCACACACTTGCACAACTAAGCATAGGTCTAGGACTGGGACATAGTCTTGGAAGACAAAATTCTAGATGCACATACTTTCACAAGCAGACTCATAAAACTCCCTCCATTTTAATTAATTAATGATCTTTATTGGAGAAGTTGAAATGTATACCAAATGAGACACTGAGGGCAAGAGAGAGATCTTTACATGTGTAAGTGGATACATATAAATTGAAAGTGCTGTGTTGACATATGCTTTCCCTAGTGTAGGTGATTGTTCAGAAGTAATATCAATGTTGAATGATAGTGAACTCTCTGGGTAGAAATTTCCCTTTTCTAGTCTACAGGGGAAATAGAAACGGAATGCAAAATGAAGGACTACACCTCTGAGCATCAAGATTACATTGTGATACAGTTATCACAACTTATGAAGGATGTTATTAATGTATACTCTGGCACTGAGCTTCAGAGATAAGAAGAATACAAGGTTAAGGGAATTTGTAAAATAAATACAAGGAATGTTCAAAAAGCTATTGAGAATTCTTTGGGGCTTTAAAATGTGATAATATTGGGTGTGGGGGGAATACTGTGTATATTATCAACCATAAAAGACCATTCTCAAAGGATACTTTTCACATAATTATTTTTACGTTATTATTTTGTAAGGAGACGTGTGCCCTAATTATTATTTCAGTGGTTGTCAAATGTGATCTTAATTATGAAATGAGTGTTCAGTTCAGTGAAAGTACTCTTTTTTACCATGCTACATTTTGAATTTTCATTTAACATTTATGGCTGGAGACCTGTTGTTAACATTTGTACACAGTCAAGAGACACATTAATATAAAGGTACACATATTATTTTTTTGCAAGTTTAAAGTTCAGTGTGCACAACAAAATGAATGTACTGCACATTTATCCCTCCATTGAATTAGGAAAGCCATTCTAGTTTGGGAAGCCATAAGCTTGATGAACTTTGTGCACCTGGAACAAAGTACTGTACCAGACCACACTATACTAAGTTTTTGTTGTCATTTTTGAAAAGTGGTACTAGTGGTCCAACCAATTTCTGGGATGTTACAGAGGTTTTAGGGCCAATCTGCCAAAAGACTGAGTCTACAACAGCTGCCTATCATCTCTAAGTAAACCCACCCAAAGCTCTGTAGTACTCACCAGCAGTGTTCCCTCTAAGCTGAGTTAGTGTGAGCTAACTCACAGTTTTTCAGCCTCCGGCTCACACATTTTTGTCTTGGCTCAGGAAGGGGGGCTCCAGAGCAAACTAAGTCATGCGGCAGCCAAATCGCTTGCTCACAGCTTTTAGGCCAGTAACTCACAAAGTAAATTTTTTGCTCACAAGCCTCCACACCTTAGAGGGAACATTGCTCACCAGTACTGCTCCTGTCATCCCAGCCAACACACCCAGAAGATGGGCAACCAGAAAACTCATGGTTAAGTGGACAAACTGACCAGTCCCACAGTGGCTCATGAACCACTGTACCCATGAATCTACGTAGAGAAAGCCCCCTCGTTACTAAAGCTTGGAGGGTTCCTCTTCTCCCTATAGGTCCCAAATACTGTTGTCAAGATCATACCCACATAAGCAGCCTTATCCTAAGACTCTGATGCTAGCATGGCACTGATGCTCCTGCTCCACATCCTAAGCTCATTGTGTAGAGAGGCAAAAATTCACAGAAACATCCCCAGAAAGCCACAGAGGTTAGCAATAGCACAGGAGTTCACAGCAATTCTGCCAAAATCTGCTAATTATGGAACAGCATGCCACTGACATTACCATTTATTTTATTTATTTATACCTTTGGCTTATATACCGCCCTGACCCCGAAGGGTCTCTGGGTGGTTTACATAGTGGTTCTAACCAACCAATTAACCTGACTAGGGCCACATTTTATCTACAGGGTGGTGACTGCCTACCAGCACCCCGGGCTAGTTGTCATCCGGCTTCCTTCCGCGGCTACAGATATTGGCGTCCTGGTGCCCTTTCTGGAGCCGATCTTCCCCGAGCAGCTTCCTCCGGCAGGTCTCGTCTTGGCACGTGGCTCTGTGTTGGCTGAAGTTCCGGCTACTGTCCACAGGTGGCTCCGCCACGCTGCCTCGCACGTCACCACACTCTCCAAGTGTGGGCTCCGCCTCCGACGTTGCTCCACCGGGTCGCCAGGAACTGCTCCGCTGCCATCATTGCTGCTGCCGCCGAACCCTCTACCTCACAAGGAGGAGTGGTGCCCCTTGCCACCTAGGGCAGGTACCCACTTTATCTACTTGCATTTATGATGCTTTCGAACCGCTGGGTGGACGGGAG